GTATGCAACATTGCATAACACCTTGTGGTGTTATGGGCAGGACATTGCATGAATGTGGATTTTCAGAATCCAGTTCAGGTGAGTCAGCCTGCTCCCTTACACTACTGCCCTAGAACCCAAGCATTCCCTGGGATTCACAACTTGTTGAAGTATGACGTAAGCAAGAGGGCTGGGATGTAGTGTTATGTTRGTTTGTTTCAAGGCTGTTGTAATGTGTGTGTACAGTAATGTGGATAAACACTATGGTCCAGTTTGTTTACCAGGCTATTGCATGGGCTGTCTGGCTGATGCACAAACACCATTTTAACCATAGGAGAGAAGCCCAAATGAGATGCCTGTGACATATTTCCCTCACCTTCCTCTTTAYGAAACGAGCAAATCCTAGTGCAGTCTTTTGTTTCCCAGGATAGTTCATCCTCCTGCTGCACCCCTCCGTTTTGACTCCATGTGCCATTTCATGCTACCTGCCACCAAATGCACCTCTTTACCTSCTCACCCAGTTCAGATGTCAGCTGTCTGTCTTTTCTCTAAACTACCTCATGCCTGTACTGCAAAACTGTGTGCCAGCAGCAGTGAGGGGCTCCAGTCTGCCTTCACACCTTCTCTTACAAACAGCAGCTTCTAGCAGGTAACATCCCTCATCTTCACTTAAGTGTTTTTACATTCCTCTAGGCTTTTACAATAATTAGCTTCAGTGTCTAAAGGCTGCTCAAAAGAAGGTACAATGTTGCTCATCTGTCTCCAAAATAGATGAGTCCTGCCCTCTGCCAGTTTCCCMCTGCTTGCACACTGCACAAGAAGTGGCGGAGGTGCATGTGGTAACTTCTAGATTCCACACTCTCTAAAATACTGCCTCCTTTTTACTTCCCTTCCCAAAATGTTACATGAACAATTTAGATAGGAACCTGGGAAATCTGTTTGCATTCACTAGCACCTGTTGAAATAAACAGTTTCCTTAAACTGTAGCTGGAAATGAATCATTAGCATTACGCCCATTTTTTGGTTCTGTTACTTTCTAAAAGTTTCTGCTTTCAAAATTGCCAAGATTTGTGTGTTTAAGCACATGTTTGGGGCAAGGGTTCTGCTTTTTAATTGAACCATGAGCTTTCCACATCAATGATCAACATTACGTATTCCGCATCTTTTAAGATCTCTGAAGGAATTTAAAACAAATGCTGTGAGGTCTGGACAGCTGCTGCWACACAGGGCAGATACTGAGAGCATGCTGAGTTCATTCAAATACCAGTTACCACATGTTACCAAATGTTTAAAACAGTTCTGTGTTCAAAAGGTAGAATGTAAGAATGTAATTAAGGCTGACTCTCTCCCTGGTGTTAGTGAGGAGAGAAAGAGAAAAATACACTTTCTATTTAGCCTGCAGAAGAAAASTGGAAGGAGAAAGTGATGACAGCCTGTTTTTTTCCCCCCCATTTTTCTTAAAAAAAAATAAAAAAAAAATCAACATATGACAAAATGTTTTTGGTAAGTTCTAACATAAAGTTAGTGGGTACCTTTGAAGTGATGGCAGGCATTCAAATTCTAAGAGATCAAATCAGGCATATTGGTCTGAGTAACATTTTTGGATGTTTGTCTGTGACATCCTTCTTGCTGTAGGGGGCACCTTGCCAGGAGTGCACTCCAGGTGTCCCCAGTGAAACATCTGAGCTTTCTCTACAAGCAATAGGAGCTGTGAGGTGTCCAAGAAGATGCAAACCAGTCAGCAGGCTGTGCAGGGAGACAAGCTGGTGCTGGGGCAGAAGCCTGCAGGAAGAGAGCTATTGGGATGCAGTGAAATTATCACCTCTGCTCCACAGCCCCAAGGCGGACTCAGCTCTACCCTTATCCTTCCTAGCAGATGTGGTGTTGTAAAGAGCTCCAGAGAAGCAGGCAGTGCTTTCCTGCCCTCGAAGTCAAATACTGTTTTTCGGTTCTATTGTCTGACCCAAATGTTTCTTCTGCACGTTAAATCCATGGTCTCTCTTCACTTGTGGCTGCTGAGAGGAGATTGGTCCATGTTTTACAAGTCTGTAACTCTGTGACTGAGGTATGTTCAACTTCTGTAGGGGAACTCCGGGACTTCCAGTGACTTGAGGGAGTGCAGGGCTCAGCTCTGTCCCCTCCTGTCACTGGGGACAACACCAGCCTATGACCTGCCCTCTTGTTGCCTCTACTGCAGAAGCAGAACCTATCAGCAGATTTGACAGGCAGGAGATCATTTAGTATCAGGAGTTTGCATTTTTTTCACACAAAAGCTGTCAGTATTTGGAGTAAGATCTTCCAAACCCATCTGACTAAGCAATGGCATCAAAATAACTACAGGAACRAACATGAGTGGGAGTCATTTGTTAGACCTGAGACCAGCTGCATGATGCCTCTGGAACACTGAAATTGCTATTATGTGACTCTCCAAGCCTGGTCATTCCATTACTCACAACTTAGTGTGGTGAGGCTTTCAGGACACTGTTCCTCTGCTGAGATTGTAAGTGCTTTTGTACCACTTGAAGTGGAGCAAAATAACATTTTTTTAATTTTGTGTACTGCATGCTGATGGTGTGTTTTGCTTAAAATTGTCCTCTGTAAGCTGTCCTATTAGAGAACTTCAACAAGCAGTCTCAGTGATAAAATTATCTGTTGGTTAAAACTTGCTTTGGGGGTTGTTTATTTTGCTGGCTTGTTAGTTTTTTGGTGTGGTGGTTTTGGTTTTTTTTGGTTTTTTGTTTTTTTTTTTTGTTTATTTTGCTGGCTTGTTAGTTTTTTGGTGTGGTGGTTTTGGTTTTTTTTGGTTTTTTGTTTTTTTTTTTTGTGGTGGACAAACAGGAAAAAGAGGGGATTTGTTGTGATTACCTGCTATCTTTTACTGAAGGGGAGATGAGGGTAGAGAGTCTTTAGTAAAAGCTTCAAAATATTAATTGGCCATAACTAAAGTAGTTCCAAATGAAGGGTGGAAACAAATTGCTCTCCCTATGTTTCTCAACAGTCCAGTGTTCCCATTATTGTTTCTTTTAGCACTGAAAATGTCAGAATCCCCTGCTTGTTTCTGTACTCCTGCACTTAGGCACAGCATGACCTGACTTTTCCATTTTGAAAATAAGCTTTTTAAGAGCATCTTACAGGTGCCTTCCACATGTCATGAAAGGAAGCACAGCATTTACACTTCTGTATTTTTAAAATAAACCAAAACAACTACCTTCTACTGCCCCAGACTTTGTGGCTACACCTATAACAGCCTTAACTCTGTTTCTGATGTGCAATATTTGACTTACACAAAAAAATACATTTTAAAAATTTTYCTTTCAGAAGCCACACCTGTGCTAAACATTTGCAGGTGGCAATCAGCTACAGCCTTTACTGAGTGAGTGTTTTGGCAGCACAGTGAGCTCTGGTCTGTACCTGGGGCACAGTTTGAGCTGATGTTTAACCCAAGCTGTGTTTTTTCCACAGCCCTGGTGGCCGCAGCACAAGGCTGAGGACCAGCAAACACAGAGAACCCGCTGCTCCCACCATCCCTGGCTCTCTGCCAAGGCTGATGGGCAAGTTCTGAATGTGACTGTGTTAACAACGTTCCCATAGGTGGATTTCACTGTGAGTTTTGTATTATTTGTTCCTGTTTTATTTTGGTTGTGTTACTCTTGCCTTCAGGGTCCTGGCTTCCTTATTGCAGGGGAAAGGTACATTTTAACTGTTTTAAGCTTCTGTGTGCTTACTATTTTGATTTCAGCATGTGTACATATTGTTGAAATTCTGTGTACAAGTTAAAAAGAGATTTGTTGTTCAAAACTAATTGTATTYAGATCAAAGCCATAGAACAAAATGTGCTCAGATTGCAGATTTGATTGCAGCTTTAGTTTTTCGGATTTCTCAGTCCAGAGTAGTTGCTGGCAGCAGTATTCATGGTAATATGTGTATTGGAAGTACACACACAGAAGAAAAGTTGTACAGTGTACTCCACAAGTATTGCAGTGCTATCAGGATTGCTAAAAACAAGCTAGCTTGAAGGCTATTTTTAGGCATTATTGCTAAAGTTATAACTTAACACCTCCATATTATCTTTTAGTCTCTCTAAAAATCGAAACACATTTTCAATAGTGAAGTTATTTGGAAAATGATTGCAAATTTTTATTAGTACAACTAGAAATACATTGGCTTGACTGTGTGACATTGCTTCCATTGGGAGATACAGCTGTGGTAGAAGCAAAATTGACAAATGTTACCTGACAGTGAGGCTACACCTGTGAGACAAACAGCATAATTGTGATCACAGYCGGTGTGTCAGCACACAGGGAAGGGCTTGATACAGTGGAAGAAGGACCATTTGCCTATTTCATGTGCACACATAAAAAAGCAGTATAAAAATACATTTATAAAATTACAAATTTCCTCTTTACATGGAATGTTGTGTCAGACACAGTTGTGGGAAAGGGTAAGACCCACATGCATCTTCCTAAAGCCATTTGGGATGGGGTTCAGTCTGTAATGTCTTCAGACTGATCCCATAAATKATGGGACTGGACCATGTGTTTATGTAGGACTCTCCTTCATTTCCTGGGAGGGACTGCTTGGAAACTGGTGGTAGGCCAAATCCACTGAATTAAAATGTGTAATTACATGGTATCATTTGGTAACTCTGATACCTTCATGAATGGTTATATGTACTCCAGTGCTTTACAAAATTCAAAGCTGCTAACCACTGCTTCTGGTGGAGAAAAGTCAGGTGGGCTGTTCATTCTGCAGCAGCACCTTTTGGAAAACAGACCTGGCCTGAACCTGTCTGACACCAGCCAGCTGGCTCTGACAGCCACTGCACCACCTTCTCCTCGGGGAACTCTTGATKACCAGCTCCAGGACTCAGAGCTGTTCTGCCCTACAGCCACAGAGATCCCAGCCCCAGAGGAAAGCTGAAGGGAGGACTGAGAGCTCCAGCCTCCATATCCTTGAGACAAGGGCATCAATAACCTGCTTCAGCTGTAATCTACTTGCTACTAGAAATCTAATCTACTAGAAAAACATGGTCACAGCTGCTTTCTCTCATTTGTAGCTGGGGGAAGAGTAGTATTTAAGTGTTTTAGTAAAACAAAAAMCCCTTCAGATATTAAAAATAATAAAAAAAACCAATCAAACCTAGCAAAACCTCAAAGAGTTTTCTTTCTAAGCATGAAACAGTGATTCAATAATCACTTAAATAGTTTCAGAATCCATAACATAAATATCGASTATTTATTAATGTCTGCATTGTGGTCTAGTGTGACTAATGTTCTAATGTTAGTAATGTTAAAGGAGAAGATATGGAGATAAACCTTCATTAAAGCAATAGATTGATGTCGATGAGTTGCAACATGATTAATAGTACCTGAAATGTCCATGTGTTAGGTCTTGTAATGCATGTTTCCACATATGGCAGTCATGCTATTGACAAGGCCCAGCCATGTTGTTGTGGGGCCATGCCAGAGGTAGCAGAGAGGCTAAATATGTGCCTTAGGCTACATTTGGTTCACAGGGGACTAGGCACAGCACTGAAAGCACAAATCTTAAATTCATCATTYCCCAGTGGAATTTATCCTGTGATCCTTAGATTCCTGACTCATCCTGTTCTGGCTTCCCAAAAGCTGATTGCTGTGCAGGACAYCACCTACAGCAGCTGGTAAGACACACTTCCCCTCTAGCACAATAAAAAGGTGCCAAACTCCATAATCTTTTTCAGACAGACTCTCTTGGAGTTAAGGCTTAGTCTCTTACTACTGCACAGAGCATTCCACATCTGGCTACAAAGACCTGAGCTGGGCTCTTTGAGYCTTTGCTGGTGAAGGCTACTGTACTTGGCTTCTCAAATTTCTATTACTCATTTGAACAGAAACTGGAATCCCAGGCCTTCTATCACTCAGATTTTCTTTCAGCTTTTTTCTTTTTTTTTCCAAATGTTTTATCTTGCTAGTCAAAATTAGACTTTATATGCAAGGTACCAGAGGAGACCTATAAAAATTATCCAGTTCCCCCATATGTGGGGCAGTGGCCACACTGCATCTTTTGCATTTTAAATCTGCATTTTCCGTCTCTCGTAAGATGTCCAAACAAGCTGAATTGAGGAGGGGAAACTGTGCAGTGAATGTTGCCAACCCTCTTATGTTTCACTGACCACTGGAGATGGTCAGTGCATGCATTGTTTGCTGAACACAATATATGAAGCAGGGAGAAAAGGCAGTGGGGCACAGGTTTGATAAATGCACTGATCAGTGCCGTGCTGCTGAGACATGGGTGTTTCCTGGCCACATTAGGACACTGGAAGCTTCAGAAATTTAACTGATAAAAGCTGCCCAGAGTCTGAACAATAAAGTTTTGGTCTCARGTGCCTCCAGTGGTAGTTATGGGTGTGTTGGCCTACTGGTTCCTCTGTGGCCCCGCAGAGATGCCCATGCTGGCTCTGGGAACAGAAGCTGTGGAGTCAGGAGGGTACAGGGTTATGCCCATGCAAATGAGCCATCCTGAGGGACAAAATGCATTAGCTCAGGCACACCAGGAGCATTTGGCTACACACCTTTGGAGAYTTGCACATGTGCTTTGATGTGTCCTGTGCCAGGTGGATGTACAAACTCACCAACCTCTTCCCCACCCTCCAGTGTKTGGTGTGGTCCTGTCAAGAGTTGTCCTTGTGAATGTCCTGCAGTGCCATCCGAATGCACAAAATTTCTTCATCATCACAAGAAGTGAGTGACAATACATGTGCTACTAATTAAATAGTATTGAAATAGGTTATTCAAAAAGGTTTTCCTAGTCTGTGCTACTGCTTAGTTTTAATAGCTGAAAGGCAGAATGTGGTTGATTCTTTTCTTTTAAGCTTTTTGCAGTGTTTGGAATAGCACCACAAAACAGTTAAAAGAAAAGTCAAAAGGATTATTAATTCTACTCCAAAGTATATTCATGAGCAGAGGGCTTGCCGGTAACATACACTGCATATTCCATAGCTCCACAACAAGAATAGATAGAGCTTGAAACTCCTTTTCACTGAGTTTCTGGACTGCAAAACCTTCAGTGTTGAAGTGCTGATTCCTTTTTTTCTTTGGTCTGTCAGCACAGTTCTTACCATCTGGAGTTAGTTTAGCAGAAAGGTGTGGATGTATATTTGTCGTTCAATCCACTCAATAAAATGTGACACGTTACTGTAAACTCCAGGTCCCAAAACCTTGGAAAAGCAGACAGAGCCCCAAGATGTTAAACCAAACAAAGTCCAGCGTCCTGCAGTATGCTCGCACACAAGTGGTCCTCCACTGTCACCCTGCAACAGGAAAGTTAAAAACAGTCTATTACACATGTGGCCAGCACTCATGATTAAAACTGCATCACAGTTCCTACTGCCATGTGCCTTTAGCAAAAAACTCAGCTGCAAAAACCAGCTGCTCTGCTGAACTGTGTAGCCATACAGGGCATTACCAGTGTTAGCCATTACATCTGTACAAAAAAATACCTGCAAAAGGCTCATACAAATTAAAAAGCTAACGAATAGAGCTAAACCCTAGAGTCTTCAAGCAGCATTTCATTATCATGAAGATCAGTGGTTTACATTAATATTAACAATAATAGCAACAATAAAAGTTGGGTTAAAGTATGTAAATAGACATTTGTCATTCCTAGAATAAAGTATGCCAGGCCTAATTACATCAGAGTACTTTGATTTCTAAAAGCATTTTTGGCTGTTACTCATTAGAGAGAAGCCTACCATGCAAGAGTCCACGGTGCCAGATTCGTAACCAGCACACAGCATTCTGCTGGTGATGATTTTCATGTCAAAATATGACTGGCATTGTTCTAAGGAAATGATGCGAACCTCTCCTTCTTGAAGCTTGAAGGGCACTGAAAAACAGAATTAACTGTTAATTAAACACAAATTCACACATACTTATTATGAACCTTCGAGATATGCCAAACATTTCCATCAAGATAAATTATAACTATTGCTCTCTATGCATTGTGTTAAATGTAAGGAGAGAAGAATCATCCTTTAGCACAAAGCCAAGGTGAAAGCCAGTGGGTATTTGCACTGCTACAGTGCTGCTGTTGTGCTCCTGAGCCAGAACCATTATGTGTTGCATTCTGGAAAAGGACTAAGCACATGGGGATTGATGTGACATTCGCTGTTCATTGAGCATTGACGTGTACAGTGTTTTTTTTTTTAGATGGGGGCGGTGGTGGCTGGAAAACAGTAATATGAGGGAGGTGGATTAGAGGTTTGATTCACTGTTCCAGGGTAGGATCTCACTGTTTCTTGGTGTCTCTCATGGTAAAACTTGGTAATAATCACAGCCATTTTGGTTATGTTTGAGTAAATTTGACTTAGAGAATGTACCAGGGAATCAAAATTCCAACCTTATGAAAATATTGTAATATGTTAAGAGACAACAGAACACTTCTTTCCAGTCTAAACAGCTGACTGAGCTCAAATTCTGATCAATGTTGTTCAGCCTAGGATATGCAGTACTAAATGTTATGTAGCCATAGTGGTTTTTGCTGCCTCCTAGCGTAAAACCTTTAAAACCAGCACTGACCATATTAGAGAACAAAGAACGATTTTCCATTTACCAGTGCTGCAAAAGCATTCTGTCAGAGATGTTTTCCTGACATCATATAGAGGTATTTTTAGATGAGTAGAGCTGCTAGTAAACAGCCTACCCCTCATGTGTGCAAATTAATTTTTACCACATGTCTGACCTGGCCACTACAGCTGAAGCAATATGGAAAGGAAAATTTCCTTATCCAGTGTACAGAAAAGAAAAAGCCATCCCTTGTGATTACTATAATAGCAAAAGAAGAAACACAATGGCTAGTGCACTAAAAGTGTTGTGGCCAGGCAAATTTGCAAACCATTCMTGCAGAATAATTTTGCCTGAAGAAAGGTTTACATGACACAACAATTCTTGCCTTGGGACCCAAGGACTGCAGTAGCYCCAAAACAAGAAAACACACTAACATTCTGTTCAGAGATGCAAAAACATTTGTGATTATGGAATAAATTGTGTAACAAATAGAAAGTGTGGCACAGAGTGCTGGTTCATGACCCTGTTCCTTCAGCCTCTATGCCAATGCTTCCAGTGTCTGCAGCTTTCACTGAGATAAGTGTTTCTCCCACATTGATGATGTGATACCTTTGCAATGCCATTCCRAATGCAACTTAGAAGAGTAAAATCATAACTAATTCAGGTGATTTTCTTGATAGAAGTTTCCAAATCTTCAACATTTTTAAAAATCAAGCCAGAGTGTTAAGTTAGTAAGTAAGTAAGGATTAAGRAGCATAAATTGAGGCTGCTGCTTTGAAAAAAGTAGACTCTAGTCACAGCTTGAGCCCTTCAACAGTAGTTACACCCCCCTGGTATCTACTAAGATGCAGTAACAGTATAAATGGTTAAAAGTCTGCAGTAGGATCACTTATTTGATTAACTCAGTAGAAGCTTCACATGTTTTTCAAGAGCTAGAGAAATATTCATCTTACTTTTGTTGCCCATGTGTCCCCAGCCTGTGATGTAGCAGTAGGTGTCTGGCTGAACCAGCTGGTCCTTGCTGGGCAAGCAGACAGGTCTCACGTAGCTGGTCTCGTTGATATCCTCATCCAGTTCCACGATGCTGATATCGTAGTCCACGACTGCTCTGTTGTAGCGTGGRTGGAGGATGATGGTCCTCACTAGTCGGGTCTGCATGAAACCTGATGGATGATCAAGGTTGCTAATCCCAAACACTACTTTCCAGACTGCTGCATTTTCTCTCCTTTGTCAAAAAGGAAAAAAAAAAAAGTGAAATTTCAGTCAAAATCTTTCTTTTAAGCTAATATACCCAAGATTTTTTCCTCCCTTTTTGCATGCCACACTTGGCAAAGCATTGCACATAGTAATGCTACAAGTAGAAAACAAATACTTAGGYATTATTCCTTAGAGCTAAGATCTGAGCAATAAAAGTCAATGCTTTCCATTTCCCTCCTGCTTGTAATCAAACACCTTAAGGCTCACTCCATCAGAAGTTATGTAACCATATACTAGTTGCTGTATTAAAGGCTCTCAAAATAATGCCCTGGATCCTGCCCAAGTATTAGCTGCTTGCATCCTCGCTGGTGGGCACACAAATGTCACTGGGGTGAGAATGTTGTTCAGTAGTCTGCTGCTGACAGCAGTAATCCCTCAGGAGTCTCAAAGAAGCAATTCTATTATGTAAATTCAGTATTTTATAATAGCTATGGGAAAATTCCCTGATTTATTCAGCATTCAGTCTGTGCCAAGTATACTTTCTAGGCCTAAAACCAGAAGTTACTTTGACTCTTACAATTGTTTGAGACTCTTTTGGTAAACATGCACCACAGAGCAACAGTACATATGATACAAAGGGGAACACTGAATGATTGTCTGTTGAGACACATGAAAAAAACATAAATTTTATGAAAGGCTTCAACCTCTTTATCCTGACTGGTCACAGGATAATTTTTAGGTTCCTGATTAGTCTTCAGGCACTTCTAATTAGTCTGTGATTGATTCTATAAGCCTCCAAAAAGGCACCATTTTTCACAATTGCTGAAAGTCAACTCCATGTAAATAAGCCACTTTGACAGGACTGAAGCTTATTCAAAGCAGTGCAAATCTAAGCATGCAAAATTTCAGCTTTTTCGTAGAGAAATTCCTGTAATTTGTAAAAAGATTTGGTCGTTAAATCAAGGCTACTTTTATCTTAAGAGTTGGATGAAAATTCTGACATTTCAGACTATAATAATCATTTCACCATCATGATCAGTTTGTGAACTGTTCCATGAAGTTACAGAGATTAAGTGCTGTGGATATTCATATGCTATTGTGTTTATGACCACTGTAAAAAAGCATTGCCTAGAGAAATGAGCAGTCACAGCCAGAATGCATTGTCCTGCAGTAAAGAAAAAAATCCTTATTATCTTAAACGCTTTAAAATAATGCATTTCAACATGATCTTGACAAAACTCTGGGAACTATAATAAAAAAACTAGCAAAGGACACGATGTTTCATGAAGCTCTTTTTATTCATGCCTTCTACAAGTATTCATGTCCTTTTGTATTAACACTGAATTATTGTTATTTGGTTCTCATGTTTTGTACTTCAGACTTCACATGAGTTTCACAAAATGGAACATTTTGTGTAAAGGACTATGGCACTTTAAAATCTCTATGTATTGCTGTCTTATCTGGTTGGTTTGGGAAATTTTTTAATACTTTATATTAAAAAAAATTGTGACATCAAGAATGGCCTTGATTATATGTTAGGCTAACCAAAGTCTTCTTACAAATGAAGAATTTCAAGATTTCAGGTTTCTGAAATCATACACCCAAATGTATTCAGAAAGGCAGAAAAGAAAAAAGTTCATGTAACTTCTCAATCAATTATTAGACCAGAATATCTTAGTACTTTAAGGTTTTTAGAATAAAAATGTGAAGGAAACTTTTAACAAGTTATACTCTGAGCTCACAGGGATATTACGTAGCTCTACATGAGGGGTAAATGAACAGCTCCAAAATGTAGTGGCACTTTTTCTGCATTTGACAAAACTGCGAGAATTTTTACTTTATAACATCATAGTTGCTTTGCTTATCTTTCACAAAGGAGACAAATCTCTTACCCAGGAAATTCAATAGCTGTCCAATATTGCTGAAGGATCAACCTCTGTCCCACCCTTTATTTTAGATCACCAGAAAGTGTTCTTCTAAAGGATAGGAAATATTCCAGTAGTATATTTAAAAATAGATGGAGAAAGAAGACAAATTCCTTCTGGACCCAAGATGAAATACAGAATTCTTGTTTGTATTATACAGGTTTAGCACACTGTTAGTTTAAAAGGACAAACATCAAAGAATTCAGTGCTTCAGAAATAAAAAGATAAAATGTAAATTTTTACTGGAAAAGGGAATGATTGACATTATAAAGAAATATCAGTTCAAGAGAATCTTGCTTAAAATAGAATTTCAGCTGGTTTGAACACAAAGAAAGGTGTTTAGTCTAGTCTAAAATAATTTCCAATAAGCAAGCACCAGTTTAAAGCAGGATTAAGCAACCATATGCCAGAGAAGTACTTGCTAACTACAGCAGAAACACTTGTTTAAATTTTCTTTAGAAAACCAAATTTAAAAACTTTTGTACAAGGCAAAATAAATGAGATAATAAGCCTCCCTCTAAAATCTGTGGTTCATCAAAAAGAAATATTGGTTAGCACCAAAAAGCTGACAATGATCAAAACAATTCCTAAGATAAGTCAACATCATTTGCACTCCAGACTGCCTCCACCACGGCCTCTGATACCAGGAGGCACAAAGCAGTTGTTAATACTGACTTATTARTGATTGCCATCCTAATGAAAGAGTGGTCTGTATAAAAAGAAAAGCCAGTGACTTCAATATGTCACTTGCACTGTGAGTAAATATTCAGYYTTGYTTTATACCTGTGGCCACATAATYTTTTCATTTTTCTTATGCTGGTACAGAGGGTGTTTTTTTTAAGTCGTGGCAGTTGTATGAGGGCTATAGAATTAGTGTTTTGGTCTTCTTCCTTTTCCTGTTTCCTGCTGAAAGTCAGGGCATCTTTATGTAGCTTTCATAAGTAGAGATGCCAGCAATGACTAATAAAATGTGAAAACCTAAGCTGGTTTGCATCTTTTTCCTTTCTTTTTTAATCTGTGTTGGCCGTTCTGCAAAGGTCTTCTCCTATCCCCAGCKTTTGGTAAAGGAGGAAGGACTTGGTACCTCACACGCACAAGCTTATATGAGCAGTAAAATATCTGCGCCCTCTCACCCTTCGAAGCAGTGTGCGACTGTCAGGACCCATCTCTTTGCGATGAGCACACAGCCACAGATGTGTCCGCTGGGCTCACTCTGCAGGGAGCACTGCCATGGCCAGCGGCCCGGGCGGCTGGTGCGGCCCCCGAGGATCCTCTTGCTCATGCGGGCGGCGGGGCGGCGGCCACAGTCTGTGGGACAGCAGGGTTAAAGAGAGCCTTCTGCGGGAACACTGCGCCACAGCGCTGTCAACAGAGCCACGGAGTGACACTGGACCACACACCAAATGGGCAACCACCAACCACGCAACACAATCAAACACACTCAGCCACTTTGAACCTTCCTTTGTATCAAAGGATTTGGTCTCCGGTTATTAATTTCGACTGGATCAGCCTGAAATATTAACCCAGCTAAGTTCGGGTTTTGCTCACGAGGTTTATGTCTTTAACAGCCAGCAATATATTCAAGCTACTTTGTACTATCCAGAAGAATTGCTTCTGGAAAATGTGCTCAGCAGTAATAATGTTTTTCTTAAGTCAGGTATGAGGTTAATATGACATTTATTCAGCTACACAGCAGCAAACTTGCTTTGCCTGTAGAAATTACTAAGGGAGAACATTTCAAGATCTGAAGACACTCTAGYACTTTGTCCATTACACTTTACAAGCCACTTCCACTAGAAATTACACCAGAATCGCACCTGCCACTTATTATTCTGAAAAAAATCCTTCACTTTCACTTTATATTCTGGTTTTGAAAGATACCAGGCTTGTTATTTATCCTGTTTATATTCAGTCTGATTTAGAGAACAAAAGAACACCAGCAGTTTCTGCAATCCACGTCCCAAGGGAGGATATGCTGCCATTGCAAGTATGTGAGAATTTAGGGTGAAGAAATAAACTGGAGCAATGGTTATTTGAACTTATAATTCTTACCATGTTTACTTAACGTCATGGAATAAAGGATTTTCAGTGTACTTAAAGTAACATATGTCAGAAGAAAACACCTTCAACAAGCTCCTTGGAGCTTATTCCTTTTTTTTGATGAGTAGCAAATGTTTTGATTARTTTCCCAAATTTAGGTCCTGTCTTGTAATTACTGTTCCCTGAGTCAAGCTAAATCATAGTTCCAGTGTTCTTTAGCAAAGCTGTCCTTGTCTGTAGAACATGATTTCATCACAGGTGAAGAATTTCTGCATTTTCAMACCACTTAAAATTGTACAACCTGCTGTGCCAGCAGACTTGGTCCATAACTTTCTATTTCAGGTTCTTCTGTTCCCTTGAGCTTAACAATTGTGCAGATCACAGCTTCAACTCCCAGGCAGATAGTCTGCTAACCACTCTGGTGGTTAAGGATATTTTTAGCAGGGAGTTTTATCAAATTGATTTCTGGAACCTGACTGCTGACAAAGTTTCTTACGTGGCATCAGGAATGAGCTACCTCAATGCACAGCATCTTAGTCAAAATATAAGAAAAGCTGATTGAACTAAGGAGAGTAGGCAAAAACAAACACAGTGCAAAAACTGAATGTTGCAGAAGTCTAGTAAAAATTTCTGAATGAATCCACATTAAACATCTGCATTTGTTAAAGTGATGTAACACATTTTGAAAAATATCTATTTTATGTACACTTCTTACCTTCTTTAGTGCAAAAGAGAGCCACTTTACTTCTGCTTTGACACGTCTGTCTAAATATTGAAAYAAAACATGGTAGATTAATTGATTACTTTGGTAATTAGAAAATCAGCACAGGTATTGTATTCATTGCTGTAATCCAGCTGTTAAAAAATTCCCCAAATCGTAAAAAGAAACTCGAGAAGCTGCTTATGCCAGATCATCCATGGTTTCCAGCGTCTGGAAGATAATTCAAAATATTAGTTCAGCTTTGCAATGCATTTCATGAGTGGGTGCTACATATTTTGCAGACTACCTCGCTCCCTGGRCATGGATCCAGCTCTGAGGTCACTTGGGAGGCACAGTCTGTCAAGTTCTTATTAATGGCACCTGAAAGCACAGATTGTCATTCTCCTCTTCCTTACAGTCGAAGGACAGGATTTTCTTTGAAATGCCTTTGATAACAGATGATCTTTTGTGCCCTAAAAGTTCAGGTGTTTTAAAAGAATCCAGGAAGTTTGYATAAGCGGGTATTCAAACAACAAAAACTTAAAATTTCTGTTGAAAACCTTCAGATGAGAGAGAGAAGAATTATTTTTTTGTTGAGGGAGGAGAAATCACTGCTAAATCAGCAAGCACTGTTGTGCAACTAGCTGACTGCCTTTTTATTTTCACAACATTTTCACTCCTACTCTGTACATGCTCTTCTGAAGCAGGTGCAGAGCTTCATTGGACTGGATGCCAGGTCATCTGTTCCCCAGGTGCCCCATTATTTGCAGACCTTAATCCCAAAAGGTAGAAAATATCTTTAAAACTTCCACCACCTAAAAAAGAGGCTGCATTTGGTGTTAAGTTATAGATACTAATGTGGGCAAAACAACAGTGTCAGCCAGCTCACCAGATCACCTTGAATTTGGAACTGRACCTGACCTTTGTCCCTTACATTGCATGTACCTCATTCATATACTGTACAAAGCAGTAACACATTCTATTTCKCCTCCTGAAAACACAGACCATAAAATCATTTTTCTAGAAACAGTAGAGACAGCTAATTTCAAGAAATAAAATTTTGTGCACAATTTTGAGAGGGAAAGAAAATATACGGAATATAACTGATATCAGTCATGCTCATGTTTTACACTTTTTCCTTTGACTTACCAGCCAGCTCTAAAGACAAAACTTTAAGCTTTTATGTGTGCATAGCCTGCACTGTGCCTTTCCCTGCTATCAAAACTTTAGGAATTAGTGGTGTATTTSTTAGTTCTTGCCCAAGTTCCCATTAGTTCAGAAGCCTGGCAACTCTTTTAAACATGTAACATACTCAACAGCACAAACATTTACATGACAGCACAAACCATGTCTCAACCATGAGATTGTGGCTTCTCATTAGTAACTGTTTAGTTGAGTAAATTAAAAGGAATTAGATGAATACACCTAGACTGCAGGTCTCAGGAGCTCTTCACAGTCACCTGGATGGATACCTGATGCAGCCAAAACAAAAAACAGCCTCACCCTTCATGCACCCTTCTCCCTTAGCTTCTCACTTCTTGTTATCCATTTTYTGGATTCAGGGGGACTGGAACATTTGTTTCCTACATGTTACTTTCATTTGTGCAATAGATTTAACAATAATCCTCATTAATGATGTCTATCCTCCTATAACTTGTACTTTGGGCAAAATTAAACCTTTTGCTACTAAAATTTGTAACTCAGAGGCTCCAGATCCATTACTTCATACGTTTCCTAGTAGACCTCTTTCAAAAATGTCAAAAAGTACCTTGAAATTTCTGCTTTRCACTTTAGTGACTGAACAGAATATRATTGTGGATCTGCCTTTGCATCTGGTCACAACCCAAGGTGTTTATTCTTGTATTACTCTGGAGAAAAGCATTTAGATACTGTTAGGCTAGAGGGAAAAKACAGTGAGAAAGGAAAATCAGAGTTAAAATGACAACTTTCAAGTGTCAGGCACTGTTCAGTAAAGGTCCTTCTAGATGAAGAAATACACATTAACATGAATGAATGGGAAAAATACTAATATGAAACAAAAAAGGTACAAAATATGTAAGATCTGTAAGAAAGCAAAATTAGGTCCTTGCAGACACAATCTTTTCAGTATTCTACAACTAGGGAAAACTTTGAGTACAGAAAATAAAGGACCAAGCAAAAGAAAAGTAGATTTCTTCCTCAGACTGTTGTCTTCACACATATTACATCTCTGCAGTCACYCAAGACAATMTCTTCTTGTGAAACAGAAGGATTTTCTATGGAAGAGGGATGTTCTGAAAGCCCCTGGGCATTTGAAAGAGAAACCATTGATCTGCTTTTTGAAGAATGCAGTTGCCAGTGGGGATTAGGTGGCTCTCCCAGTTTTCCCTGGGAAAACTAAGTTTATTGGCTCTGCAAAGTCACACTTTGAATGTCKCAACCATGGGATCCCAGCTTCTCATTAGTAACTAATGTTTAGCTGGGTTAATTARAAGGAATATACCATCATCTGAAGCCAGAGCAGCTGCTAAGAAAACTACTGTAAGTGGATATAGCTCTACTGAAGAAGCTGTGTTTGCTCCAAATGAATGAATTCAGAGTACATGGGCTGCAGAGGGCAGTAAGATGTTGCTGCAGATTTTGCTGGACTTTTTACTCAGCAGAGATTTTATGAAGCTATTTAGTCTAGGTGCTTCAAGAACATCACTCTGTATCACTCAAATGCTTTTATTCTGCCACAAGAGGCCTCTGAGGATTCACAAGATGGTGTTAAAAGTATGTGCTTTGTATTTGCTGGGATTTATACACAGATACCTTGATTAAAAAGAGCTTACCAAAGAGCTACTCATCTTGCATTGATCAGTGACTACCCACAGCAGTTAAATAGGTCTTATTTACCTGTTACTTACCCATTCACTAGAAGTGCGTGTAAAGTGGATGCATTCTTATTCTTCCAGTCTGAGTGCAGGTTCAGCCATTTCTGGTCCTGCATTTTCTCATTCTCTATTACAATTTCTGTTTTGGATGGTCCTCTGAAACAAATGAAAGACATTGATGGAACTTCTGGTAGGTTTCTGTATTACAATTATGAAGATGAGGAGGCCCTAGAATCTCCTGTTTACTCCAAAGATAGACATCTGAATGKTATAGCAATGCCATGAGTGGCAGATTCATAGCTAGGAGAATTAAATCACCTCAAGAAGCCAGGCCAGCCAACATATGAMTGTCACGTTGTATTTTGTGACAAGAAGCAGAATTGGAATGAGGAACAGAAGAACCTTCTGGTGGCATTTACTGAAATGCACACATTGATACAGTTTCAACAGTTTCTTGGCCTCCCAAAATAAAAAAAAAAAAAAAAAAAAAAAAAAAAAAAAAAAAAAAAAAAAAAAAAAAAAAAAAAAAAAAAAGTAGATCTTCATTGTAAAAGAGGTAACAGAAAAAAGTATTTTCTTACATTCCTGTCACTGGAAAACCATTAAAATTTAACAGTGAGGAGCAATCGGGGTCCAAGCTACCTACTTTGCAAAACAGAAAAAATCACRGGTGACGATGTCAAACCTGTCCTTCTGCTGTAAACTAACAGTATGTGAGGGTTAGAATGGCTCACCAGGAGATATCTTCATATATCCACTTTCTCAGTATAGTTATTGCCTGACAGACTCAAGCCACTGAAGAAATTGCTATTTTCCTAAATCTTGATGGCCAAAGGCAAAAAAAATGGAGCATTTCTAAATTACTTTACTTGTCATGCAGCTTTTCAGCACAGAACCATTCATGATTAGCTATCATTCCTTGACAAGGACAAGGACTTTCAAGCAGTGCTCTCCTGAATGCTGGCCAAAGGCTGAATTCTAAAYCCTAATTCATGGAAAACAGAATGAAAGAAGTTCAGAAAAACTAAGATAAGTCCTTAAACAGGCCTCTGAACTCAATCTCTCATGACAGTGTCTCATAATGCCAGCCAGATCACTAGTTTGTCTTTAAGTCCAAGTCTCAGTGCTGGCTGTATTTCTTTTTTAAAAAATCTTTACAAACCACCAGAACACTTTACACACTTGATTGCATAAACTAACAGAGATCAAAGAATTCTGTKTTATGGTAAAGTTGTCAGTGTAACCATATGGAAATATTTTCAGCGCAGCTGGCAGAATAAACCAAGCTTTGAGCTCATGGCCCTGGATCCTGCATGTTACATTACTTATTTTGTAGAACCATCTCTGGGCATATTAAGCAAATATTCCATGATCTACTCAGCAGAATGTGCAGGCATATACTACCAAGTTTGCTGTAATGTTTTCTTTCTTAGTGCTTGTTTTTAGCATACACATAAAGATCTCCTCTCCCACTCTTTCCTATCAAAAATTTGCAAACCTTTTTCTTACTATGACATTTTTCTTTATGATCTTGTCTGAACAATGATGTTCACTATTTCATAACTGTGTACAGTGATATTTCATGTACTTGTAAAATGTCTGATCTATAAAATATGTAACTCAAAAATGTGCAAAAAGRTGCAAATATCATGCCATCTGATAGATCCAAATCTATGTTATACCAAATACCAGATTGTTTTGATGAGACCTGCAGTTCTGAATTACAGATTACAGTGATGCTATAATCATAATTAAGGAGACTTGTACTTCTAAACCCAGGCAATGACAAAACACTTATACCTGCATGAAATTTTATAATTTTACTTAGAAAAAGTAAGCTCATGGCTATGGCTTTTTTCCTTGGTGGTCACAGCTCAATATAGAACAGTCAAAACCAGGATACCGTAATTTATATCTTTAGAATGCCTTCCATAAACACTTGTGTTTCTTCCTTGATGCTGTTTATAAAAGATTTTCTTTTACCTAGTCAAGGGTCAGCACTTGTCTCCTTTAATCTATTTAATGAATAGTAGCCAGAATGAGTGGAAAAAAGAGCCTCATTTCTAGAGAATGAAAGCTGGAGACAATGGTTAGCATCTGTGTAGAGACCAGAGCATACTCAGAATTGCTAGAGAATAAGAGAACATGAGCTAAAAGTCTTAGGAGAAAAGATTCTGGCTGGTGAGAGCTTCTGAATGTAAGACTTTCAGAGGGGCTGCTGCACAAGGAGTATACATTACAGCAGGGACTGTAAATCACTGAGAAAAAAGAAGGGATGTGGAGCAATGGGTACTCATTTTAGCCAGCCCCATCCTGTGCTCCAGAAACACAGCAGGCAGCAGGTTCTATTTGGTCCCCCTTGGAGCTGTAGCACACATTTTCTTCTTAGAACAGACACATTGTAAAGAAAAGCTGGGAAGAATATTCAGTGTCAACTCACAATTCACAAGGATATTTGGCTTTACTGAGTTTCTTAGACAACAAGGCCATTGTGCTAATTACTTCTAGACATCAAGCTACATCTTCAAGTTCAAAAACAGCTTCCTGCCAGTTTAGTAGCGTAGTGGCCTGCTGAAGTTCCAATATCTTTCATGATTTCAAGCCAACTCTTTTTAAATGAAACACTTTCATAGAAGGCTCTTTCACTTCTGAGCAATTTTCTGTTTTCCCTTTTCCTTTGCATATACCGTAACAGCTTGGTGTGGATTTTAAGTTAGTGYTTTTAATTATTCCTGTATTGGAGCAAAAAGCAAAACTGAAACAGTATTTGTTGACTGAAACCATACATACTGGAACACAGTGTGCAGTTTTGAGGTATATCAGTTTAAGACAGTATTCAGAAAATGGAAGGGATCGGGAAAGGATCGTGCAAATGGCTTTCAAATTTTCTAGGGGCCTCTGGCACTGATGTATAAGGAGGGGTTGAGGGTACTGAACTTGCTTACTCTTGWGAAGAGGAAGCTAAGGGACAATTGAATACTAACTTGCAACTACTTGAAGAGGAGTTAAAACATTACAGAAACCAATTTTTCTCAATAGTGCTGCATGGTAAGACATGGGGAAATGGCCTGGACCCACAGCTTTGGAGATTCGTAGCACATGAAAAGGAGACATTAGGAAGGTGAAGCAGCTCTGGAACAGAGAGCCCTAGCCATCAAGGTTTTCAAGACTTGGCTAAAGCAGAGCAGTGGTAGAACTGATCCCATTTGGCAATAATTCTGCCTCAAGAGGGAGATGGACTAGATGTTCTCCAGATGCCTGTTACACGAGCAGATTTTATGATTCTTTTGCACAGCACAAACACACTGTAGTGACCAGCGCCTGTGCTGAAGAGCTGAATCYTAAAGAAGGCCAGCAGTCACTAGAACAGATGTTTCACACACCAGAGCATATTTTAACATTACAGAACAGTCTTTGAATCGCAGAATCATGGAATTGATTAGGATGGGAAAGAGCTCCGAGATCATCAAGTCCAACCAATATCTACACAGAGATCTGAAATACTTACATTACTTCAGGAAGTTTGTTAATGATATCTGCAAACTCAAGACATTCATAACATGGTAACAATAATTCGCACCTTTTGAGTGGTGAGATCCCTCACCAGACTGAGAAAATAAAATATAAATCCTACCTGCAACGTCATGACTTTATAACATCTCATAACATTTGGATGAAATTATTTACACAGTGAAATATTATTTTAAAACCCATGGGGTTATAAAAAATCTGAACAGAACATAAAAGTCTAATCTTCTCATGTGTCTAATATCTGCAGTAAATTTTTATAGCCAAAATAGCTACACTAGACCTTCTGACCTCAAACTGCTCAAACATAACACTCAATGAATAAATTTTTCAGTTTCTGTAGTCTCAGCCTAAGGGCTTCTCCAAGACTGGGTAAAGTTCCATATTAAAGTAAGTTTACAATAGATGCATGACAAACAGCAGTACTTTATGACTTTTTTCTCCTCTACATTTGAGGTGATAGAAATACCAAGTTTAGTGGTACAAGACAGGTGTGACTTTCACACAGATTTCATTAGGTGCTCTGCACTGCTTTCAAGAATGAAATGGGATTCGGACCTACCTATGAAAAAATTCTTCCATAAGACTCTCTTTCACTAAAAAGTTAACTATCAGAAATTCAGCCAAAAGAGATCTTAGGAGGCCATCTGATCCATTCCCCTAATTCAAAATGAGATCAACCATATCTAAATTCTCTTTGACAGATTTTTGTCCACCCGGTTTGTGCCTAACTTTAATGATGAAAAATCCTCAGCATTGCTAGTCAATATATTCAAGCAATTTTTAAAATAATCTTCCTACTTGTCATTTGAGCTCATTACTCTGTCTTATTTCCATTGGAAATGGAGAGCAGTTTATTCCTAACCTTTTACATTTTTCAAGACTCCAAAACCTCCTTCCCTCCCTGACTGATAAGGCAGAGTTTCAAACCTCTYTTCACAGATCACTTTCTAGGTCTCTGTTCACTCCTGTTGGCCAATTCTCATTTAGTCAAAACCTAACACAAACTGTGCATTACCACAAAGTGATTACACATAATAAACATTCTTAGTTAATTCAGGCCATTTTACTAACCTACCAAATTTTTTTTTTTAATTCTAATCCTGTCTTCCTAAATGCTTTCAAATCCTCCCAGCTTGATGCTGAATGGGAAATTATCAAGCATGCTCTCCAMTCTATCATCTGAATGACTCACTTTACTGCTGTATCTTCCCAGACACACTGGCATGCATTTTGCCCCCCACCAATACATCTTTATGATCCTTACTTATTTCAAAAGTGATTTCACATAGTGTGAAAGTTAAAAGTATATCATATCTACAGTTTCTTCCCCATCCACAGTGTCTCTGGTATTTCAAGGAATAAATTAAGGGACTCTGACATGACTTGTTATTGATGAATAAATTCTGTCATTAGGACCTTATACTTCTACAATTATTTGTTAGTAATTCATGCTAGGCAAGTAGTTTGTAAATCTCTGCATCTCCTTCTTTTATCCTTTTTAAAGACACATGGCATCCCAAACAGTTTCCTCCATTCTCTACAACTTCTCAAATCTATGGCTGCCACTATTGTCAGCCATAATGGAGATACACCAGAGCCATAAATCTTAAATGCTCTTGCATGAT